AAAGCCACCGCCTGCTCGATGCAATCGAGATCAAAAATGTAAGCCCACAACCAGACTCGGACAGGCAGATGCAACGGCACTCAACCATATGTACGAGTATATATGTACATACCATAGAGATAGCACCAACAGGCAATTAAATGAAAATTTATCCAAGGCACGTTCGCAAGCTCCACAATGGGAGGAAAATTTAACAGCCACAGAGCGGGAAATGTGAGCGCAACAAATGTGCAACTTTTGGCTAAATAAGTAATGCCTTTTAAGTTAATTAGTGTGCAGCAAGAAGATCTCTAACTATTTCAATTATAAGTTTTTGCTAGTTCTATGAGGTTTCACAACTAATTGCCTCAATGTGTTCCTACACTTGAACAGAAAGTTTTAGATAAAATAATCTTAATATCTAATGTTACTTTTATAAAAAACAATAATAATTTTATATTATAATATATTTTATGTGCGACATCACAGGAATTTTTATTTCAAAGTCTTCTTCAAAATTATGTACAATTCTCATTCCTTAATTTCCACGTCATATTACTGAAATCTCTCGATAAATCAGGCGGTTTTATTGGATTAAATGCTGAGCTTACAAATTGTATTAGTTGAACCCTAAATAAACAAGTAGAGAAGCTAAAGTCGGGTATCCCGACTTTGAAATACTCTGTACATATGTGTAGTAACTTTTGTTTTCACGTTAATATCCAATTTATGATATTCATTTCTTTGTCAAAAGAATTTTGGCACGGTTATAAAGAAAATTCCAACATTGGTTACAGAAGTATACAGAAGAAGTTGCACAATGATTTCCATGATTCAAAAAATGATTTTTAAAAATACATCCAAACCCATTATCTTATGCGTATCTATGCGTGCATGTGTGTGTTTGTGTGTGTCTTTGTGCCTGTACAAAGCAGTAACAACAACAGCTGCGGTCACTGCTTGGTCATATATGGCTATAACTTCCTGTTAAATCGGCCTATCATTATGAAACTCGACATACGGACTCATAATCACTAAGGACGTATTTTCCGAATTTCAATGAAAAACTCCAAGAATTAAGGGAGTTACGATTTGCGGGGAGAGATGGAAATTCCAAAATACACATTTTCTGCGTATTCACATAAGGCATTTGGGACTAAAATTTGGTGTCTCTAGATCTTATAGTCTCGTATAGCGAACACACATAAGGCATCTTTATGCAAAATTTGGTCTCTCTAGCTCTTATAGTCTCTGAGATCCAGGTGTTCATACGGACGGACAGGCAGGGCTAGATCGTCTGGTCTTGTCACGCTGGTCAAGAATATATATATTTTGTGGGGTCTGCCACGCCTCCTTCTGCCTGTTACATTTTTCACCTCCCGCAAACCTAATATACTCTTGTACATTTCATTTACAGAGTATAACTAGTAGCAATCGCTTCAATTAATCTTCAAATTGGGTATCTTGTGGGTATCTGAATTTGTTGTTCCTAGACTTCACACAAAACAGTTTACAATTAGGGCATATTTGTTAACCTTTGCGGTTAAAGAATCATTGGCTTTATGTTTAGTGCCGGTTCAGTGGAAAGTTTGCATCTGACATTCTCAGGAACGTTGTGTTTGCTAAGTTGTTCGAGTATACAATTTGTTTACATGTACATGCATCATTTATTAACCCATTTATACTGTCATTTCTTCTTAATGTTAATAATGTTTAATCTGAAAACAAACTTTTAATTAATTTAATTGCATTGCATAAAATACATGAAACACACTTTCGCTTTAAGTAAATAGTAAATATTTTAAAGTAACTAAAGCTTTAAGGTTTTGGAACCGCATTTAAATACAATATATAAAGACTAGATTCAAAATTTGATTCATAATATGTGTAAGTAACTTTTGTTTTCACGTTAATATCCAATTTATGATATTCATTTCTTTGTCAAAAGAATTTTGGCACGGTTATAAAGAAAATTCCAACATTGGTTACAGAAGTATACAGAAGAAGTTGCACAATGATTTCCATGATTCAAAAAATGATTTTTAAAAATACATCCAAACCCATTATCTTGATTTAGTTCGATTTTAATTCTGAATACATATTGTAAGATATACATACTTTGAATACCTGTTGATTGACAACATATTCGTACAACCTAGAGCGGCCATCTCAGCCAATCCAATAATGATAGCAACGTGTCCGAAAAACGAATAGCTTTTTAGGTATTATATTTAACTCTACCTCTATCTCTATTCTGTAAAAGCTGTCCTGCGGGGAAATTTCTGATCATTTACTGCTGTGAGACGGGGCATAGCTTTAGGCTGTCCTTTTTTAAAGTTGGAAATATATCATAATATTATTCTATATTATAATACTATATATGTAATAGTATATTATAATATTATACTATATAAAACATTTTATAGTAATCTGTATCGACAGCACAATTTGTTGATTTATTAAAATATAAAATGTTTTTCTCCTGCTAAATTCTATCTATAAAGTCTATCTAAAGTCTTACTATTTATTTAGTTTTACTTGTCCTTCAAATGCACAATTCAAGCCCTTGAATGCTTGTGTTCGCTTAGTTTCTATTCATCTCTCACCTATAAAAAGCAATCTATCTGCAAATGTACTTTCATTCGATGTGCACTCCATTGATAACCCTCACAAACTCAAGCTATCTCATTGCCGCAAAGTGTACTTGAACTGTGAATGCGAGCACACGAGCGCCTAAAATTATTCGAATGTACCTACTTATTAATGAATGAATGTAGATCAATGCCCCCTATTTACGAGTATGGGTTGAAATATTATGTAAAGACTACTAACTATAACTACTCGTATTTATTTGGTGTGAGGTTTTCGAGATCTTGCTGCTCAATTGAGTTGCAAATTATGCATATGATGATGGTACAAGGCAAATGGTGCATTTATAAGTATGTATGTACTATGTATTATGGCATGCCTTTGTATCTGCTGTGTGTGTGTGTGAGTGTGTGTGTTTGTGTACAATATACATATACAAGTATGTATAGAATATGGATGGCAGGGTAGCTGCACAGTGTACACCAACTCTCAAGCACATGCATAACTCAATATTGCTCTGAGCTCAATCATTGATTTTCGCTGAAAGTTTAATTGAATCGTCTACGTCATCATCGTCAGCTGCAGCCTGCAGCTGCCTCTTTGTACTTTATACCACTACATACATAAATGTAGCACTGCACGTGCATCAATAAACACGTACGTGTGCATATGTATGTGTGCATGTGTAGGTTTGTATATATATATATGTGTGTTTATATGCATGTATATCAACGCCCCGATTAAACTTTGTATGCAAAATTTATGCAACGCATGCCGTTGGCGCCACGCATTTCTGTTGTTGCTGTTGTTGTTGTTGTAAGCATTGCATCGTGGCCAACGGGTGCCTCCGTTCAGCATCCCCTTTGGCATGTCTGGTTGGTAGGTGGTGGTGGGTGGTGGGTGGTAGTGGGTGGTGCAAACAATGTGCGCTTAATTAAGCACGCGCCTGCCTTGTTGTCTCTTTTGATTTTGAACGAGCACTTGTTGTAATTGTTGTTGCTCTGTTCTCTGATACGAAGCAGCATCAGCCTGCTCTGTTTTAAATTGATTCTGATAGGCAATGCTTTGATTTTTATGATTTGTTTTCAATTGGTTACAACCGAATGGAGGTCACAATGAATGATGACAGTTTGGTTGCACTTTAAAGAACTCTCAGCTCAAATATGTACATAAAGAAATAATACTTATATTTGACATATAACAGTGATTAAAGTATAATAAATCTAATAAAAAAACTAGTCTCTGAAATTACTGCAGAATCTGCTGTTAATTACAAAAGCAGCGAATCGTTGGACTTTAATGCTCAAGTTCATGTGCTCTACTTAAAGGATGGGTTATAAAGAAGGATTAAAAGATATCTAATAAAAGTATCGGGCATGTATAATTGCAATGTGATTTGTTTAGCCTTTCCGATATTCGCCAAACACAACTGGAAATAGAATTTCACTACAATTTAAAGTTTGTTTTTAATAAATTAATTTAATCAATTATTTCAATCAAAAACAATATTTGTATAGTACACTTTCTTTTCTTGGTGTTTAATCTAAAAATTATAACTTGGTAGCCCGAGTCGCTGTGACTAATCGACTTAGCCATTCTTACCATCAAACAGTTTGGAATTAAAATTTCGGGAATCGTTATTTGTACGAAAATATGCTTTAGGGTATAATTTTTGCAAACAAATGTATCAGGACGGCAATATTTGATAGGGATTATCGTTTCTTAGACTATGGCTATTGACATGGTCGATTTCAACACATTTTTTTGCCAATGTTCAATACTCTACAACTGTTGCTCCTACTACTTGAAACAATTCTTACAATCAAACAATATATTCTTACACTTTTTAGTGAGTAATATAAATATTGGTAAGCGTTTGACACACCTTTTCTAAAATTAATAGTGGTGGAACGTATTTTTCTACATGCGTGCAATTTCAGTTGTATTGTCGTATTTAATATTATATTCTATTCTCAATCAATTCTTATACACGTTTTCTGCTACAGTAAATGATTATTATAGAAACGATAGAGGCGCGCATTTTTTACAATTTAGCAACAGCAGTATAGTGTGAACCGGGCTCAACGAATATTTGTGTCATTTATAAAAGTACTTGACGATAATGATAGTTATTTTTATTGAGCTGCATTTAGGGCAAGCAAGCGTACTAAAAAGTTGTATGGCAAGCACATGTACATACATATGTATGTAAGTATGTAAGAGTACATATGTATGTGTGTATTTAGAGATCAGAAACCTGCAAGACGAGCAGAGAAATGCGATGCGGCCAAGATTCAAGATGGGGCAACAGGTGCAACGGGTTTTATTGTAGTGGCAATTTGTAACTTAAACATGACGATGGAATCACAATTAAATGAACAAATTGTACACATGTACGTACATATTCTGTATGTATATATTTTTATACTCACTGTCTATCGTATGATTAATGTTTGCATAATTTGCTAGCTCAAAGTATATTACACAATCGACCACAATCTTTGATATTTATTTTGCCATTGAATCAGTGATGATAGCACAAGTAAAAAATATCAGCGCCGTTTGATTTAAATTCACAAATTTTTATAACATTTTAATATTTATTTTATTTAAATTGAGCTTCGTGGGCACAGGCACAGACACAGACACACTCATACGCAAACAATTACGGCTACCACTTGCACGAAGTGGAAGAACTTAATATTTTTTTCGCCTTGGCTGCGCACTTAGCCGCAAAAGTAACAACAAAAACGGCATACAATAGCAATAATAATTTTTCAGCTGTGGTTTCAATACAAAATTAACAACAACAATTTCAACAAGAACGCCGATGCCAATAAGACAAACGTAAAGAGAGAATAACAAACGCGCGACAAACAATTCCCGCGTACAGCAATTCGGACGAAACAACGTCAACAAATATGCGCGCGTACAAACGGTAACAACAATAACAACAACACGACACCCCCACTCACGCCCAGTCACGGGCGTTACCAAGACGTACAACGCCAAAAGGCAAGCTTTGAGACTGCGCTGATCGCACAACAACAACTACAATAGCAGCAACAAATAAGACGATAGCAATTTTCATATGCATACATATATGTATGTATGTATTTATATGTATTTCCACCTGGATTGTTAACACTCTACACATTCATGTAGCCGTCATATTTTTGGCCAAGCTTGGTAAACACACACAAATCCACAAGTGGGCGATATTTTCAAGCACAAATTTCTCGCCTATTTAATATGAAAATATATTTTCCAAGCCCGTTAGCATTCGTCACGCACGACAGTTTTTAACTTAACATTCGATTAACCGACAAAAATAAAGCGACAACCAATCCACTACGTTGGAGCGCGAGCGACTGGAGCTTGTCATAGCCATGGCGCAGCTGTAGCAGCAACAAGTGTCAAAAACAGATGATCGTGCGGCTTGCGGCTCAGACCCCTCGGTGGCAACGCTGCGTGATCGAGAAAGAGCTAGTGTGTACACACTCAAGAATTTAAATTCAACGAATATTTAATAAATAAACACAGCGCTAAATTGCTTTGAATTAAATAAAATGATATTTTGCTTATTGTTACAGAAAATGCCTAAAACTACCCTAAAACCGATTAGCAAATAGAAAAAAAGACGCACAAAAGGGAATTAGCAAAAGTTGGGCACAAAATAGGAAAAAAAGTCGCCATAGCAATGGTTGTTGCCTTTGTTTACCGTTGGCTTTTGTACGCTGTTGCTATTGTTAATACATCGTTGTTGATTGCCGCACAAAGGCACACAGCCTCGGATAATCCGTCGACATACAATATAGGCGGCGTATTGAGCGACTCTGACAGCGAGGAGCATTTTCGCACAACAATAGCGGTGAGCATTTGTTTAGCTAACAGGATAGAAAACGAGCTTTAAAAAACCTTCCTTTCACATTTATTCCAGCATCTCAACTTTGATCAGCAATATGTGCCGAGGAAAGTTACCTACTATGATAAGACAATACGCATGGATAAAAATCCCATAAAGACGGTGTTCAACGTCTGCGACAAACTCATCGAAAAGCGTGTAAGTAGGCTTACAAAATGTTCCCTGCACTTTTGACTGTAACAGGCAATGCAATTACGTCGCCATTTCCGCTTGTGTGCGACAATCTCGCAGACGTTGCGCTTTGGCAAGCGAGTCTTTTATCCTTGGGCTACGTTTTAATATTTCAAAAGGAAATGAATCGGAAATTACTTGATGATAAGCGGTAATTTGGAAGTGCATATTACACTGCTTGGGTGAAAGGCGTCACTGGCACCTTATCTGACTGTTTGTTACAATCTGAATTGCGCAATTCATTGAGGCTCAATTTTTAAAATTCATTGTTATGAATCAGTGATTCCTTTGGCTTTGCCTGCTTGTGCTCTGAAGTGTGCACAATGTTGTTCTTTGTGCTTCAACGAATCTCAAACATTGCATTTAGCTTTAACAAAGATATTTAAGGAAAAAAAACACTACTTAATTTTGTTGTAAAATATTTCGAAAATATCAACCTACACACAGGTTAATGACCTTTAATGTACAGCTATACCAAAAGTTCACCCTCTATCCATTTCACCAGAGACACTTAATCATTGGTGTCAGTACATATATCAAATTCTTTTGACAATTTCTAGACTTGATACCATATTTCAAGCCTAGAACAACAACAACAACAAAACCATCTAAATCAATTCGATGCGTATTTCATTTGGACCGCAAAAACCATCACACGGTCTGTGCCAAGCTCATTTGTCATCATTTACACTAAAACTCAGACAACGGCCCACTAAATGAGGAATGTTCCATCAGGCAGCGAGCGCATTTATCATTTACCGGCACACAAATACGTGCGTCCATTTTTAACCTATCATTGCACACAGACACACACTCTTTTTCCCCCCACATGTAAGAGTATATACACAGAGGTAAAAAAAAAACTAATGTTTACTCAGGCACTCTCCTTGCGCTCGTCCATAATGATATATATTTTGGCAGTCAATTGAACGCTCTCTTGACGCCATTTTGCGCGCCCAATTCGATTTACACTTCCGCTTGTCTCGAGTGCCAACATCAAGGACATTGAACAACGTCAACGAGGTTGCCAACTGCCGCTCGCTCATTCGCACTGTCTTAGGCTTTGCTTGTGCGCCTTCTTCCTGTTTAGTGCTGCCTTTGCTCATTTGTACTTTTTCTCATAGGTCTACGCCGTTGTCGTTTCGCATGAACAAACCTCAGGTGATTTGTCGCCGGCGGCTGTAAGTTATACGAGCGGCTTCTACTCAATACCCGTCATTGGCATATCCTCACGGGATGCGGCCTTTTCCGATAAGAATATACACGTTTCGTTCCTGCGCACCGTACCCCCTTACTATCATCAGGCGGATGTCTGGCTGGAGATGTTGAGCCATTTCAGCTATACGAAGGTACAAAAAGTTTACTGAGTTTTGACTTATTGCATTGTCTAACAAATCTGTTTGCGTTATTTTCTATTCCTTTCTTTCTGTTCTTGCCTCCGCATTGTTAGGTAATCATAATCCACAGCTCGGATACGGATGGACGCGCCATTTTGGGTCGCTTTCAGACAACATCGCAAACTTACTACGATGATGTCCGATACGACGACGTGCGTGCCACTGTGGAATTGATTGTTGAATTTGAGCCGAAACTGGAGAGTTTTACCAGCCATTTAGTAGACATGAAGACGGCACAGTCGAGGGTATATTTGATGTATGCAAGGTGAGGGAAACATACACACACACTTGTTGTTATTTTCAAGATGTTCATTTATTTGTTCCCCATACTAACAATAATAATTTGTATACCCTGTATCCGTAGGGTAAAAAGGGTATATTAGGTTTGTGCAAAGTATGTAACATGCAGAAGGAAGCATCTCCGACCCCATAAAGTATATATATTCTGAATCAGCATGATGAGAGAAATCGATCTAGACATGTCCGTCCGTACGTCCGTCTGTCCGCCCGTCCGCCTGGATGAACGCAAGGATCTCAGAAACTATATAAGCTAGAATAACCAAAGTTGGCATCCAGATTCTCCTAGGTCCGAGAAAGGACGAGTTTATTTAATTTTTTGGAATTTTCCCCCCCTTCCCCCCCTTCCCCCGCTACCTAAACCAAACTTTGCACACATCATATACATATATATAATTATCTACTGTTGTTTAAAATTTAATACGGTTAATTCTAAGAAATGTTATTAGGGAAATAAATTCTCGCCAGTACACCCCCCCCCCCCCCCCCCAAACTGCAGCAACAAGTTCGCTCTTCTTCTTCCTCTTTTTGCTGCTGCTTTGGGCGCATATATGTAACTCAGTGACGGAAGTTTACCTGGGTACAGGGTATTACACTGTCGGGCTTGCTCGGCTGTAGCGTTCTCTTGTTTTATTTTATAAAATGATCCATTACTTGTGTGTTTGAGAGTTTTATAATATCAAGATATGCTTTATAATTTATAATATACATACATGCTTCGATTAAGATATTAGCTAATCTGAAAATTTAATTTAATTAAATTACGTAGTATTATTTAGTATCATTTAGTAAAATGCGTCTTCTTTGTCGAGAATGTAAAGACTATCCATTCAGTTTGAACTGTAATTTTTACACAGCTCTTAGTTTGAAAAATCGATTCAGCAATGCCTCAACCCATACAACTATTTTTTTTATTTATTAAGCTAACCATTTTATACTTCTCCTAATGAGCCACAAAGCTATGGTCATAATAGCACTATTAGTTTAATGCTGTGAAAAACATAAAAAGCTCTACAAACAGCAATCTGTGCTTCCCTTGAGCTTTTCGTTCATTACTTGTATACGAATATATCCAAAATCACGAAATCAACTTAAATGCCACATACCGCAAATTGTGATAAGTTTTCACACCCATTTCACTCTCGCTCTTTCGCACACTACCCAGCACCGAGGATGCACAAGTTATATTCCGCGATGCTGGCGAATATAACATGACCGGAGAGGGCCATGTGTGGATTGTAACGGAGCAGGCGCTGCATGCGAACAATACGCCCGAAGGAGTGCTTGGTCTGCAGCTCGAGCATTCCCACAGCGACAAGAAGCACATTAGGGTAAGTGTGAGCATAAGTGTCAGTATGGCCCACAGAAGCGGCCCCTCCAGCATTCAGAATTCAGTAGTCAGCTTCCAGCCTCTAGGCCCGCTTACCACGCTGCTTGGCTTGCTGAAATATTTATGAAAGGACTTACCTCATCACCCTGCTCTCTCTCGTTCTCTCTACATATCTCCCTTTCTTTAAATCATGCAGGACAGCGTTTATGTGCTTGCCTCGGCTATTAAGGAAATGATTTCAAATGAGACCATTGCTGAGGCGCCAAAGGACTGCGGTGATTCGGCAGTGAACTGGGAATCGGGTGCGTAAACATAATGTGACCTGTTAATTGAGTTTTAAGTTAACCAAATGCATTAAATATGTGGCAGGCAAACGACTCTTTCAGTACTTGAAGTCGCGCAACATCACTGGCGACACAGGGCAGGTGGCCTTTGATGCCAATGGGGACCGCATTTATGCAGGCTACGATGTCATCAACATACGGGAAAAGCAGCAAAAGCTGGTAGTGGGAAAATTCAGCTACGACAGTGTAAGTTAAAGGACCAGTCTGCAAACATACTCGTACAAATGCAAATTCGAACAAATGCTGACATCTTTACAGGAGAAGGCGAAAATGCGGATGCGGATCAATGACAGCGATATCATCTGGGCGGGCAAACAGCGACGGAAGCCAGAGGGCATTATGATACCCACCCATTTGAAAGTTCTCACCATAGAGGAGAAGCCCTTTGTCTATGTGCGGCGCATGGGCGATGATGAGTTTAAATGCGAGCCGGATGAACGACCCTGCCCACTTTTTAACTCCACAGATGATACGAGTAAGTGAAAAACTCAATCCATTATACTATCGAGCCGCTCTATATTTTGACTTTTCTTTCTAGCCAACGAATTTTGCTGCCGAGGCTACTGCATCGATCTCTTAATAGAGCTCTCGAAACGCATTAATTTTACCTACGATCTAGCCCTGTCGCCGGATGGTCAATTCGGTCATTATATTTTGCGCAATAACACGGGGATAAAGAATAAGGAATGGAATGGTACTGTTTCTGGATTAGTAAAATGAATTCATCAGAATAATTCATCCCTGTTTGTACAGATAAATAATTGATTTATTTATTCTAGGACTTATTGGCGAGTTGGTCAATGAACATGCCGACATGATCGTCGCACCACTGACCATTAATCCGGAGCGTGCCGAGTACATAGAATTCTCGAAGCCATTCAAATATCAAGGCATTACAATACTCGAGAAGAAGGTGAAGCATATGAAAACTGTTTTCAAAGGGAATGCGGTTTCACATTAGTCATTTGGAACTTTCGGTCTGGCAAGGATAATTTCAAAATAATTACAAATATAACTTTTGGAACCTTTGGAGCTTTTGGTCTGTCGACCAAAGAACTTTCTTTAAATAATATACGAGTATCGAATCTATTTTTTAACTTGACCAAATGGTTGATGTGAAGCTTCATACCCCTCGGTGGCAGCCTTCACATGCTTATTGTGCCATTTTGTAATTATATATTTATTACTTACTGTTATAAGTTATTAAAATGTTCCATAATTTAACAACAAATGTAAAATTACAGCCTTCGCGATCGAGTACTCTGGTGTCTTTTTTGCAACCATTTAGTAACACGCTATGGATCTTGGTAATGGTGTCGGTCCATGTTGTGGCGCTCGTGCTATACTTGTTAGATAGGTGCGTACCAATTCCCAATTCCATAAGTCCAATGCACATACACACATACTCGCACACACGTCCCCTTCAGAATAAAGTTCATGTTATAGACTTAACTTTTTCGACAGTTAACAACAATTTCATGCCCCATGACCATAAACCATCGCCATGGTTTGCTAAAATACTATAATGGATATTACTAACCCTCTATAATATTCTCTAACATCTAGATTTTCACCGTTTGGACGCTTTAAGCTGTCGCATACAGACAGCAATGAAGAGAAGGCTTTAAATCTCAGTTCAGCCGTTTGGTTCGCTTGGGGTGTGCTACTGAACAGCGGCATTGGTGAGGGGACACCGCGCAGTTTCTCGGCTCGCGTTCTGGGCATGGTTTGGGCCGGTTTCGCCATGATCATTGTTGCCTCATATACTGCCAACCTGGCTGCTTTCCTCGTGCTCGAAAGGCCCAAAACTAAGTTGAGCGGCATAAATGATGCGCGTCTGCGCAACACAATGGAGAACTTAACGTGTGCCACGGTAAAGGGCTCATCGGTGGACATGTATTTCCGGCGACAGGTTGAACTATCCAACATGTATCGCACAATGGAGGCCAACAACTATGATACTGCCGAGCAGGCCATACAGGATGTGAAGAAGGGGTAACAATGCAGCTAAAAAAGATCGGTTGATGTTGAAGATCGGCTGATTGTAGCTGAAATAGTCGCATGTTTGGCACTACTACCAAGAATTCCAACTACTCGTACTACTACAACTAACTACACTCATCAATTCTTACTCTTCACTTCAATACTCAAACTTTTTTAACATTCTCACTACTTAGTGACTCTTCCAGTAGCCGTAGTGTTGCCCCCGTATTTAAACTCCCCTCTACATGTTTCGTAAACGTTTCTACTTCAGCGCTCTTTCAAAACACTTTTCTTACTTGTTGTGAACTAATCTTGACTGCAATTTATTCGTAATCTTCCCTTGTGTTCCTAATAATTAACCTCTGCTTCTTCTTCCCAACAGCAAGCTAATGGCTTTCATTTGGGACTCCTCGCGTCTGGAGTACGAGGCCTCAAAGGACTGTGAGTTGGTTACAGCTGGTGAGCTTTTTGGACGCAGCGGATATGGCATAGGCCTGCAAAAAGGCTCGCCTTGGACTGATGCGGTAACCCTCGCCATATTAGAATTTCATGAGAGTAAGTATAAGTTCAACTTACGCCGACTTTCTCACAGTTTGTCGTTATGATATTGCAGGTGGGTTTATGGAGAAACTTGATAAGCAATGGATTTTTCATGGACATGTGCAGCAAAATTGCGAGCTCTTTGAGAAAACACCCAATACGTTGGGCCTAAAGAATATGGCCGGCGTTTTCATACTTGTTGGCGTTGGCATAGCTGGTGGCGTGGGTCTGATTATTATCGAAGTCATCTATAAGAAGCATCAGGTGAAAAAACAAAAAAGATTAGACATAGCCAGACATGCAGCGGATAAGTGGCGTGGTACAATAGAGGTTTGTAAGCCCTACATCCAACAGACCCCAAACCTAATGTATAACTCCACAGAAACGAAAAACCATACGCGCCTCATTGGCCATGCAGCGGCAGTACAATATTGGACTGAACTCAACTCATGCACCGGGCACAATCAGCCTAGCCGTGGACAAGCGGCGCTATCCACGTTTAGGACAGCGCATGGGCCCCGAACGCGCCTGGCCCGGGGACGCTGACGTCCTTCGCATACGCCGACCTTACGAGCTTGGCAAGCCGGGCCAATCACCCAAAGTGATGGCCCCACCTTTTGGCAAGACACGCCCACAACAGAACATATTGCCACCGCGTTACTCGCCTGGTTATACCAGCGACGTGTCGCATTTGGTAGTTTAAGTTAACATTTTTGGTAATCCCAATTAAAAACCGAGACACAAGTAGTATATATACACATATAAAATATGAATAATTAATTGCGATGTGTCATAAATTGCTCAAAAGGAAACAAAAACCATACCAGCCAGGGAGAATAAGTACTTGAACGTGAAAATTAGCAGCCTGTTTGTTATACACCTAACTCGGCCTATACGTGTATATGGCATATACTGGTATAATATGTAATACTATATACATATATGAATTAATGTCGGCATTTATTTAAGTGATTACGTTTGTGTAGCCTTTGATGAATTTTGTAAAGCCATTGCTCAAGTTTGTGTTCAACCCTGAAATGCTTTCAATGTGCTTCTTGCTAAAAACGCCCTCAAATTTAAACAGTATTTTTAATAGCAATATATTCAGCTGATCTCTCTTACCAACGTACATATATGCTTCTTATTCAAATCTTTAATGAACCATCTTCAAGCCCACCTGTGGTACAAGGTGTATACTACTCGACATTAAAAAACGATTTTCGGGCTACTTTTTTGCCCAAAACTAAAAGCTCCGATTTTCTTCAATAGCAAAAAAAAAAAAAAAAACAAATTATAGTATACCATCTAACTAAAGAAACACTACCATTTATGCCAAAACCATAAGTACTTCCCCACAGCTGGCTTAGCACATATAGTACGTAGCTGCCACCTTCTCATATACATATAGTATATACATACAAAACAGAGATTTATTGAAAAAAAAGACGCTTTTATGTACAAAGAAACAAATTGAAATATAAACAAAAATGTAAAACGATACAAAGTATGTGTGTTAATAAAATTACAGTCAACGACCCTGACGATTTAAAAACATGAAAATTAATTAAATACACAAAGTTTAACATTGCGAAGCTTAAATTGCTCAAAACATGACTAAACTCAAAGTCGAGAGCCAAATTTAAATTTAAATTAAAAAACATGTTGTAATATTTGTTTATAAGTTAAGTGTGAAAGTTAACAGCATAAATGTGAAGCAAGAAACAAAACCATTGAACAAAAATACTAAGCAGCCTAAAATGAATTTTAAATGTTTTGAATGTGTAAACAGTTTATGCCAATAAAATAAATATTGAAAACCTAAATGGATGCTGCTTTTATTAATTAGGAAGCATCTGGAGTTGGGAAGGGTAATTGATCAAATAGTCCACAATTCAAATCAATTAAAAGTATTTGTCACCAAACGTTTTAAATGAACAGTATCCCACAGATCTACCCAGAACACCTTTTTTAAGGGTATACAAAAGGAAAAGACGATCATCCAAAATTGCCTTTAAAGCTAACAATTCGAGACATCTGGCTATTTAGTGTTGAGTTTTGTAACCAAGTCAAGAGCATGGGAAGGAAGCTCTTCCTTATTGTCTGCCTGTTGACAACGTTAACGTTATAACCTTACCTGATAAGTGCAAGGGTGTATTGTTTTTAATATGCACCTTTGTAATACCTGAATATTAGTAGACCACATCTTATAGGTATATAGCAGCAGGACGAGACCAATCCCAATCAAGATGTCGCTTTCAATCACTGCCCCTTCCATAGTTTAAGTTTTATCGCCAAAAAAATTGGATGGGCACAGATAATATTTTTAGATTGTCATGATTTTTAAACAGTTTTTGATTATTTCTAAAAATATGGAAACCATATTAAGCATGTTACAGATATAAGTGTTAGTTTAGCATCAGTCGTAAGCCGCGATTGGAGATCATGGAGGACCAAATGCGAAATAAGCACAAAAATGCTTTCTAATGAAGGATAAAATAGTACGGTCCATTATTATGGACGGTTAAAGTTTTCTGTAAGAGATAGTGAAGGGTTCTACTCAGCTCGCTTATAATCGATTAGATATTCTAGTCCTATAGTTATGGGATTTATCAGTTCCTTTTTAAAATACCTACGATGGTTGCAGATTGTCCCACACATGAGGGGGAGAGACAAGAGAGATCATTTGTTGGCCTCTGAATAATTTGTTGTTCCTCCTGAAACACCTACATACTATACTTGTATGTATATATTTTGCAAAGTTTGAATAGGCCTTTAGAAATTATTTATTGTGTAATTTTTTGGATTTATTTACAGCTCTCGTCAGTTCTTAGTGCAAATTCAACTGGCTCTGGCAAAATTCCATAATTGATTGACATGCTTAATGAATAATTTATGTTCGCTATGATGATGAGTGATGCCTCGATTAAATTGTTTGCATTTTTGGTTCAAACGATTGATTTACTTTATTGCTGTTCGTTCTAATTAAGTCGTAAATATATACGGGTATATTATTTTTAAAAGATTTTCAATTTAACTGGTTGATGCAATTTTCATACAAAGAGACTGATTAGACATTGAATGTACTTTTACTTACACGTTCTTAGCTAACATTTCTCGTGCAACTTAATATTTAAATTACCAAGTCACTGATAATAAATTATTCGATATAACATTGTACAATTTTTTGGATTCTTCTTAGACATATTTGTCAATTAGTTCTTATCAGAAAAGGTACGATTTATAACTTTCCAACAGAAACTATCCTATATAAAGAGCCAGTAACTCTGAATGAAGCCTGTAAGTTAGCTTCGCTGTTTCGATGCGTTCTTTAGTAGTTCTACTGTATATTGCCTCTTGGGGCACTGTGACTGCGGTATACTTGTATAATAGCCCTCGGTTGCCCAAGGCTATTACGCCCTACCACTACGATCTATATGTCCAAACACATTTACAGGATATTGGAAACCAACACTTTGAAGGTCCTGCAGGACACTGATCAGATTGTTCTACACGCTCAAAATTTAACGATCAACGAACCAACAATTAAGTTGAAAAGATTAATGAATTCTCAAATCCTCAAGATTGTCTCATCCGAATTTAACCCATCCCTCGACTACTTTATTATCCAAACGGCGGTGAAATTGGAGAAAGGAGCAATTTATTATTTAACATTAGAGTTTTCCGCCTCATTATCCGAGGCGAAATTTGGTTATTATATTCAGGCCCTTGAGTCTGGCAATTCTACCGGAATGAGGTATTCAATGAAGAGTCTTAAATGTAGCTTAAAGAATGTAATCATGCCTTTCCTTGTTTCGATGAGCCAGCTTTGAAGGCGACCTTCTCCGTATCTTTAGGTCATCACAAAAACTATACAAGCCTGAGTAATACTGAGAAATATAGAGTGCGATATCATTAAGTTGTGACCACTTCGGATCATCCATTCAGTAGTGTAACTATTTTCTCTTACAGGGACCATAATATTGATTACATTTGGTCTGGTTTTAAGACTACACCAAAAATGTCAACCTATTTGTTGGCTTATTCGCTCAATCAGTTTTCACACATATTTAGTCAAACGCAAGGCCCGAGCTCAATTAAGTTTCGTACTTGGGTCCGTTCAGATGCCCTTCAAAATGCGACCTATGCCGCTGATGTTGCACCTAAAATACTTCATTACTTTGAGGAGCTGTTTAAAATACCATTTCCCATACCAAAAGTAGATCAGTTGGGTATGTCAGAATTTAAATATGCTGGTATGGAAAACTGGGGCTTAATTGAGTATAGAGAGTCGGCTATCCTACACAATCCAGATGAAAATAATATTGGGAAAAAGCAGCACGTTGCTGATCTTATAGCACATGAATTGGCCCATATGTGGTGGGGGAACCTCGTGACAATGTCCTGGTGGGGTGATGCGTGGCTTAAGGAGGGATTTTGTAAATACTTCAGCGCTGTTGCGGTTGTTCACGTTCACCCAGAATGGAAACATTTCTTTGAATCTTATGGCAGATTACAGCTCCATGCATTTGATCATGATGAAATACTTTTGAACGAAACCATTCCCATATCACATTCAATTGTACAGAGTAATCCGGAAGAAATTTTAAGGTACTCTACCATTTTCTATAAAAAAGCTGCCTCAGTAATAGGCATGATGTCTGCTATATTGGGCAGTGAAGCCTTCTACGATGGACTGCGATCGTATCTAAAAGACAATGCCTATGGGAGCACAACGCTGAATCAGCTTTGGAATCATTTGCAATCAGCCAGCGATCGTGTGGGTGCATTGGACAAAGCTTATAACATAAGAACTATCATGGAGTCATGGACCCTACAAAGAGGATACCCTTGCATCAAGGTTCAGCGTAATTATCAAACGAATGAGGTCACTGTAAGCCAGAACCACTTCGCCAATGACACAAAATCGTGCTGGTGGGTGCCCCTTAGTTTTACAACCCAATCAGAGAGCAACTTTAATAATACTCGGCCCCGTTTTTGGCTCAAGTGCAATGCGAAGGGCATGGCCAAAGCTGTAACGGTAAACCTCAAATCATCAGAAAATGAATGGATTGTCTTTAATATCCAATCAATGGGGAACTACAGAGTTTATTATGATCCCCGGAATTTGAAAATGATAAGTGATAGTTTACTTCTCCCGGACCATGGAGGCATCCATGTCTCAAACAGAGTTCAGGGATTGTATATACTTCACTCAAATGCAACCTAAGCTGCTCAATCAGACCTTGGACTTTCTAACTTACTTGAGAAAAGAGCGTGAATATATTCCATGGGAAATGTGTGTATAATGGGTTTGGATGCGGCAAACGATTCCTCATCTGGAATGCTAGAGTCGAGCAGGGACAACTCTTAAATACCCTGCATTCACTCTTACAAGAACCATATATGTAAAGTAATATTTTTAATTTAATTATTTTTAAATTACACGAATTAAATGAAAAAGTTAGGCATCCGGACTTTGAAATACACTGTACATATGTGTAGAATATTTATAATGCATCTTGGACTCAAATTTTGTGTTTCCCATAAAGCATGTGGGGGGAAAATCAAAAAAATAAAACAAACTCATATAGCGTACACACATGTGGCATCTTCGTTCAAAATTTGGTGTCTCTACCATTTATAGTTTCTGAGATCTAGGTGGTCATACGGACGGACAGACGGAGAGACAGACAGGGCTAGATCAACTCGTCTTGTCATGCTGATCAAGAACATATATATGTGTTTTGTGGTGTCTGCCACGCCTTCGGCTTGTTACATTTTTCACCTCTCGCAAACCCAATACACTCTTGTACATTTCATGTACAGAGTATAAACATACATTTACATCGGTATGACGTCTATGTATACATAGTACTAGAAAAATTACCTTTACGAGTAAGGCTAAAGGTTTCCTTAGCGGAGTGCATCGAAAAAATAAATTGGTTGATCTTTCTTGAAGTTGCAGATCATGAATAACAAGTTCGGGTATTCTAGCTCTAATAATTTCTGAGATCCTTGCGTTCATACAGATGTATAGATTGACGAGCATTGCTTTTTTAGCTTATAGGGCCTGCCACGCCTCCTCCTGTGTTTTAAATAAACTCTTATGCTCTTTTACTATACAATATTTAAATAAAGAAGTGACTGACAACAGAATATTCGTCAGCAGCTCGTTAAGTTTATTGGATACTTTGACAAAAGCTAATTCTTTGTCAATTATTTCTTATCAGCAAAGGTAAGATTTATAACTTTCCAACAGAAGCTATCCTATATAAAGAGCCAGTAAGTCTGAATCAAGCTAATAAGTTAGCTTCGCTGTTTCGATGCGTTCTTTAGTAGTTCTTCTGTATATTGCCTTATGGGCCTTTGTGACGGCGACATATCATAACCCTCGGTTGCCCAAGACTATTACGCCCTGCCACTATGATCTCAAAGTTCAAACACATATACAGGACATTGGAAACTCACACTTTGAAGGTTCCGTTGGCATTGTTTTAAAAGTACTGCAGAACACGGACCAGATTGTTCTACACGCTCAAAACTTAACGATCAACGAACCAACAATTAAGTTGGAAAGATTAATGAATTCTCAAATTATCAGTATTGTCTCAACCGAGTTTAATCCATCCCTTGACTACTTTGTAATTCAAACTTCGAAGAAATTGCAAAAAGCAAGTCTCTATTATCTAAACATAGAATTTGCAGCTCAATTAACAAATACGAATTTGGGATATTTTATTGAGAATCTTGAGCCTGGTAATCCTATGAAAAGGAGGTATTCAATGAAGAGTTCGTCATCTTATATATCTAGGTATATTAAGCATACCAATTTGTAAAATCTCTTTTCAGTTGGGCCACGGTAACACAGTTTGAAAGAGTTGGAGCTCGTTATGCCTTTCCTTGTTTCGATGAGCCAGCTTTGAAGGCGACCTTCTCCGTATCTTTAGGTCATCACAAAAACTATACAAGCCTGAGTAATACTGAGAAATATGGAGTGCGATATCAGTAAGTTGTGACCCCTTCGGATCATCCTTTCAGTAGTGTAACTATTTTCTCTTACAGGGACCATAATATTGATTACATTTGGTCTGATTTTAAGACTACACCAAAAATGTCAACCTATTTGTTGGCTTATTCGCTCAATCAGTTTTCACACATATCTAGTCAAACACAAGGTCCGAATTCAATTAAGTTTCGTACTTGGGTCCATTCAGATGCCCTCCAAAATGCGACCTACGTTGCTGAAGTTACACCTAAAATACTTCAATACTTTGAGAAGCTCTTTGAAATTCCATTTCCCATGTCAAAATTAGACCAATTGATTATGCCAACATTTAAATTTAATGGAATGGAAAACTGGGGCTTAATTGTGTATAGGGAAGCATCTATCTTATACAATCCAGGTGATATTAAACAAAAGCAGGAAGTGGCTCGTCTTATAGCACATGAATTGGCCCATATGTGGTGGGGGAACCTCGTGACAATGTCCTGGTGGGGTGATGTGTGGCTTAAGGAGGGATTTTCCACATACTTCAGTGCAATTGCCGTGGATCACGTCCACCCAGAGTGGCAATATTTCTTAGAATCTTATGGCGAATTACAACTCGATGCATTTGATTATGATGACAAGAAAAGAATAAACAAAGTTTCCATATCACATTCAGTTGTTCAGAGTAACACGGACGAATGGGAAAAAGATATCAGTGTGTTCTACCATAAAGCTGCCTCAGTAATAGGCATGATGTCTGCTATACTGGGCAGAGATGCCTTCTACGATGGACTGCGATCGTATCTAAAAGACAATGCCTATGGGAGCACAACGCAGGATCAGCTTTGGAATCATTTGCAATTAGCCAGCGATCGTGTGGGTGCATTGGACAAAGCTTATAACATAAGAACTATCATGGAGTCATGGACCCTACAAAGAGGATATCCTTGCATCAAGGTTCAGCGTAATTATCAAACGAATGAGGTCACTGTAAGCCAGAACCACTTCGCCAATGACACAAAATCGTGCTGGTGGGTGCCCCTTAGTTTTACAACCCAATCAGAGAGCAACTTCAGCAACACTCGGCCCCGTTTGTGGCTCAATTGCAATGCGAAGGGCATGGCCGAACCTGTAACGGTAAACCTCAAATCATCAGAAAATGAATGGATTGTCTTTAATATCCAATCGATGGGGCACTACAGAGTTGATTATGATCCCCGAAATTTGAAAATGATAAGTGATAGTTTACTTCTCCCGGACCATGGAGGCATCCATTTCTTGAACCGGGGCCAACTGATCAGGGATTGTATGTATTTCGCTAAACTGCAACCTAAGCGGCTCAATCAGACCTTGGACCTTCTAACTTACTTGAGTAAAGAGCGTGAATATATTCCATGGAAAATGTTCAAAGACAACTCTGCTAAGCTGTTGGCGATAATGAGCCCAGAAGCCACACAGGTACTGGAAATCGCATTTTAAATTTATGATTATGATATGATTTTTTTCACAGAAATTCGGAGCTGAAATAATTCAACCGTTATATCGGAAAGTTGACGATCTAAATGGAGGCAACAGTGATGTGATCTTAAGGCCTCTAATTGAAGAGCTGGCATGTAAATTCAAAGTTAAAAAGTGTGTTTAATAAACCACACATACTATTTACATGATAGTCTTATTCTCTAGTTAAGTGCCAAGTTGTAGAAAAGCCTGACTAGGCTAAAGCCTATGCGCTCTTTTTTGGCTACATTTCAGAAAAGTAACTGTCCTCGATGTATAATATTTATTTTAATTTCCATGCTCGAACTTACTACTAGTTTGACGGATAGTTAAAACTTTCTAAATAGAGAGTTATATACTATAATTTAAATTATATTCTGTCATGTGCTTATTAATATTTAAAGACGTATTTTGTTGTTAGGCGGTTTCTTCCAATTTTATATATAGACTTTGTTTATAATTTATATAAAGAAACATTCACTTCAAACCAGGATAAAAAGAATAATTAGGAATAACCGATGCACTCTTGAGAGATGTGCAGAACAAATAACTAAGTTATCTAATAATTTTTTTTAGTCGCTTATCATGACAAACTTAAATTAAACCTTTGCAGCAAGGTATTGTTTTCAATTCTTATCTAAAAACATTAAAATTAATATAATTATGGCAATTAAATATTTGATTCGACTATTTGTCAACGACCAGCCAGGCAGACTCCCAGCCGACTCAACCGGCCCGAACTCTCAATATTCGGAGTCAAGCTAGTACTAACTGCAACGAAGCAGTTTTTTTCGGTGCCTCCGACAGAAGCCGATCGTAACAATAATAACAACAACACCAACAACGACGACGACGACGATGGCAACAAAGCTTCGTTGATCGATGAGAAAAGTCATTGGCACAGGTGCACTGCGAAAATGGAAAGTCATCCATGAAGTCAACTTTTATTTTAAGCTTTAATTGTATTCTCTTAATCGGGGAGGCGTGCTTTGGGGATTTTAGTTCGACTGTAATACGCTTCTTAATTGAATGGATGCGTAATTTGTTTAAGATTGGGGTATTTTCGAGGCCTAAAGCCTTTTTCGTCCGGGTACTCTCTAACTTATCTTCCGTGACTTACAACCCGAAGACTCCTTTAGCTCCACTATTCTTTTCTATATGAAGTTTGTTTACACTGCGGCATACTCAGGAAAGAGCTTATGGACTCTTCTAAGGATTTTTGAGGATAAAGCTTTCCAAATTATTGATTTCTAAATGTTATCAATTTAAATTAACAATTTAAAAAAAATATATCGAAGATGTTGCTAGTTGATTTTTGAAAATCAAAATTAACGTTTGCTTTGTATTAAACACTAGAGATGATAATTTTGTGATGCTTAGAAAAAAACTGATAAGAATAAGAAGAAAAACTAGCATCTACAAATGGACATAAATCCGAATTTTCATTCATTAAAACGTAACCGTATAACAACATTTTTAAGATGATCTTTGAAGGAAGATCCAATAATTTATTCCGAAAAAGCAGGCTAGGGTTAGTTAACGAACATAAAGCTACTTCATGTCACTGGCTATGTATAGAGTCTACGCTTGTTGTTGTAGCCCAGCGACGAGCAGCCAACATACGAGTACTCTTAAGGTACAAACTCTATTCTAAACAGCTGTTGCATTTCAACCTATAGATAAATCTATTAAAAACTTGAAATCAGTTGACGGAACCATCAATTATTAAACTACACAAAATCAGTTGCAGGAATATCGGCAGTGTGAAGCATTTCCTGCAGCTCCGATAACACCTACACCCGATTTGTAATTCAAATTAAATATTTTATGATTATGGCTAATAGGCATTTATTGCGCTACATCATTAAAACAAGAGTTTAATTTTAAGGGCTACAAATAAGTATTTAAACAGATTTTTCGGCACAACATAATTTTTGACAATAATTTAGAATTCTTTCGTTCTATTTAAAATTGATTTTTCACTTCTCAAAATGTGCTAAACCACTTTCTAGACTTTGCTAATGAGCAAGCGTTTTAATTAATTAAGTCTAGACAAAGCCCACAACAATAAATTCTGACCCAAATTCTCACATAGACATTTGGTAATGTAGATTTGACTGGATTTACCTTGAAACCTTTCAGAACATCGCAATTCAATATTCCAAAATAATACAATTTTTCACATCCGGCCTTAAAAATATGTATTTTGATAAGATTCAAATGATAATATCCAGAACGTAGCCGTTGAATGGTTTCCAAGCATCTATAAGTACAAACAAATATGCTTTCTATTTGGCATTCCAATGCCTCACTTTTCACGTTGATGCCATTATTGAAATGTGTAATCCATAAAAACGTTGACAGGCCAATATGTTCTGTTTTTTATCAAATTACCTCGTATATGATTTGTATGTACAAATTGTAGAGAAGCCGCTTACCAACATTTTCTCATCTGAATTTGAAATTAAAAAACAAATTTTTAATAGAAACCATATGGAAGGGTTTGCAACACTTCTAGTAACTAACCAAAAAATTTATTTTGTATCTGCAGATTGTAAATTTTTAGTCATCTATTGGTTGTGAAAAAAATTCCATTCCCCATGACTGTTATCAAAAATTGTGAAGAGATTTTATAACAGACCACAATTTTTTATTTGATTCCATCTAATTTTTTTCTTCAAATATTTGTAAATGCTATGTCAAAAGCCCGTATTTGTTGTCTCAAGAAACAAATAGTTTAGGAAATTTACAACTAGATAACCCATAAGTTATTGTTTACTGATTAACAGAAATGTCACCAAGTAATTTCTAGAGCCGATATCATTTGACGCAAAGCTACTGACGTCATGATTTTCAATTTTTTATCTACGTGTACGAGTGTGTGACACGCAACACCTTCGCTAATTCATAATAATGGAGAAGCGAACATATCTAGATACGTTTTGATCCGTGCGGAATTCCCTTGAATTGCTGAACGTTAGCTCCGCCAAATTAAAACCTTTTTTAAGTGGTATAAAGCGGTTGATTCAATTAACAAACAAGTGTTATCTCTTTGGGTGACAACAGTATTATGTTAGCCTATTGTTTTTGTTTGTCAACAACTTCTTAACTGATATACTACATATATTTATTAGCAATATGACAAAACAATTGCTTTGTTCTTACTGTACCCATGTGTCATTGTCATTGATAGCCCCTCACCTTGTATGGGTGCCCTATCATAGACCAATAGACTTCTTTAGCCGAAAGATTGTTCTTTCCCGATACCCAGCTTCTTTCTTTTTATACTCTGTACATGAAATGTACAAGAGTATATTAGGTTTGCGGGAGCTGAAAAATGTAACAGGCAGAAGGAGGCGTGGCAGACCCCACAAAGTATATATATTATTGATCAGCGTGACAAGACGAGTCGATCTAGCCCTGTCTGTCTGTCTGTCCGTCTGTCCGTCCGTCCGTATGAACACCTGGATCTCAGAGACTATAAGAGATAGAGACACCAAATTTTGCACGAAGATGCGTTATGTGTGTATTCTATACGAGTTTGTTTTATTTTTTTGATTTTCCCCCCACTTCCCCCCTATGGGGGTTTTCCCGATTTTCCATTCGTATAATCGCCTATATCTCGGAGACTATAAGACCTAGGCACACCAAATTTTAGTCCAAGATGCCTTGTGTGAATACGCAGAAAATGTATATTTTGGAATTTCCCTCCCTCCCCCCTCTCCCCCGCAAATGCGATTTTCTCTAACTCCCGTAATTCTTGGAATTTCGAACTAAAATTTTGCAAATACCCCCAGTTAGTAATTATGTGTAGGCCAAGTTTCACTATGATAGACCGATTTACCAAGAAGTTATAGCCATAAATATATTTGCTGCTGCAGCGCTGCTCAAGCGCTGCCCGCGGCTGTTGTTGATGTTGCTGTTTGGTTGACTGCGAAAATGCTTACACAGACACGAATTGATGCGCATAGGCATACATACACTCACACAGACGCAATTGCTTTGTAAATGTGCAATTATACACCCTTTACGTGAGTTCGAATACCGAGAGAGGTAAAATCGATCCAATTTTTTATTTATTTATTTTTTTTTTATTTTCTATAATTATTGTAAACATATGTACTTAGTATTTCAAAGTCGGGACACCCGACTTTAGCTTTTTTACTTGTTAGATTTATAAACAACCAAACAATCAGTGTCCTGTCAATCATTGAATAGATTCAATACGATTACTTAAGGATCCAAGAATCTGTGTCTATCTGTGTTTTAAACTGATTCTTCCAAATATTATGATCCATTTTATTTTATCAAGCGTCAAGCGTAAAGTTTATATGACGATGTTAATTAGCAATAACAAATTTTTATACGATATAGCGCATTTCATTGTCAACTGTGAAATATCTAATTTTAGTTATAAAACAATAAATCTGTCTGTTTCGCTCGTTCGCCGTATAGACTTTGGCAATTAGAGGCGATTCGCTTAAAAACTGGTCAACGTAGTCGCGCACGTGGATCTGTATATGGTGGATACCGAGGTATCCGAAAGTGTTAATCGGCGCGATCGGCTTAGCATTGAAGCTTTGGAGCAAGTGGCAACTTATAACCGCTTGCAACTGGTTGGAATTAGCAATTGTGTGACATATAGTTGGGCAAGTTCAAAATATTACACATGCCATTCAATCTGAAGATCTATACATGGACTTTACTATGAAAGCTCATCATTAAATAGCCAAGTGCCGTCAAAAACAAAACAGAAACGGAAGACACAATAAGAAGCAAACCAACCAGTTATTTCTTAATCACATCATATAAATTATGTTCATCGACTAAAGAGCCACAGTTCAACTGTTTAGCTATTATATTAGCCAGCTTACTTACCCACAACAAATATTCTTTTGGAATTATGAAAAGATCATGCAATCATAAAAGAAAACAACATTTATGATTTCATTTATAGTAATTAACAAAAAGTTGCAAAAAGTTTTCCTTTTTAAATTAGTAAAGCAGTTATAGCAAATTGTTTTCAATGAACGTTTAATTAAGAAAAGAACAACCATCTCAGTCATCATGCTCGTACTGACTTTACACTCTTTTACTTTTCGAGATCTATGTGCTCATTTAGAAGGACGAACTTTTTAACTCTAAATCTAATACATATATTCACA